TTGATTTTTCACTATATTATTAGTTGGATTAAATGTACCGCAGAACTAGTTGATATAAAACATACAAGCTTAGATTATCTTTGTTTTTTTTTTAAAAAATGTTTTTAGCTTATTTTTATACATTTATTTTCATAGCATTAATGATAGAAACAAAGTGTTATAAGAGACTATTTTGTTATGGATAATTTAATAAAATTATTTCGTGTTATCTATAATTGTTGTATAACTCCCCAGAACATATAAGAGAGAAAAATAAAAATAAAAATAAAATATATGAGAATAAGGATAGTTTATTTATTTATTTTATTTTTTCAGACATTTATTCCTGATTAAAGACAGGCTCCCTGTTCTCATGGTATCAAAAAAATAAGACGACGCTGTTTTGCGAAATAAACGAAGCCGCAAGGCAGGCTGAAAGGCTCATAACAACTTTCTCATCCTTTTTTCTTTCTCAATCCATCAATTTAGCCCTTATTAGAAATATTCTCAATTTAACTTTCATGTATTCTAATTTCAATCAATTGAGTCCAATACAAAACTTCCATCCAATTATTCCGTTATCTTCGATTTACAAAGCTAGAAGAGAGGAAGTGAACTAAGGATTGTCCAGCTAACCTAGAAGTCACCATATCAACTCAAAATAATTATTTTTTAAATTAAAATAATATTATTTTATGTTTTTAAACAAGTTAAATATAAATTATATTTATCAGGATCAATTAAATAATATATTGATCTGTCAGATCAAGAACTTTTCTATTTCAAATTGAAAATTGGCCTGGGTCAAGCTTTGGCTTGCTGGTTTCTAGATCAATCCATTATACCGGGTTTGAAAATAATGGATGGATGTTACATATCGGGCCTTGATTGACAGTCTTCATTTATATAGGGACTAAATAGACTAATAAGAGACAATACAGGGCTTAGAACACCGATATAGCCTTCCAAGGTTTCTTCTTCAACGAGCCAGTTCTCTCTCTATTAAAACTTTGTTCGTTGGTTTTTTTTTTTTTTTTTCCAGAAGCAAAACACAGAAAAACGAGAGAGAGAGAATGAGCAGAGGAAGCGGGGCTGGATATGATCGGCATATCACCATATTCTCCCCTGAAGGCCGCCTCTTTCAAGTCGGTACGTACTGTGGTCAATCACTGTAACTGAACTTTCCTGTCTCCCTCTCTCCTTTTCTCGCCATTAAATGAAATTGAAATTGAAAATGAAAATGAAATTGCCGGTGCAGAGTATGCGTTCAAGGCAGTGAAGGCAGCTTCCACCACTTCCATTGGAGTTCGTGGCAGCGATTCTGTATGTGTTGTTACTCAAAAGAAGGTTCCGGTGAGTTAATCACTCTTTTTTCTGTTTCTTCTTTTTAATTCTATCAACTGCCTTGATCTAGGGTTTATATGTTTTTTTAATATTTTTTTTTGGCATGTGCGAGCAGGACAAGCTTTTGGATCAGACTAGTGTTACTCACCTTTTCCCTATTACCAAGTTCCTTGGATTACTGGCCACCGGCATGACTGGTCTGCTTCTTTGGCTTTTATCCTTTTCTTGTTAGCAAAAATTTTATAGCACAAGGTAATTGATATATCTTGATATTTTTTCTGTAGCTGATGCTAGGAATTTAGTTCAACAAGCAAGGAATGAAGCGGCGGAGTTTAGGTTTAGATATGGGTATGAAATGCCTGTGGATGCATTAGCCAGATGGTATGTTTGTGATTTTCATCATAATTTACATTAGAACATTCAGATGGATACGTTTGATTATGTTCGAGTTTTTCAATATGTGGGATGAATATTTTTCTGTATGGGTTATTAATAGCAAGTAGAGGTCTCATCTTAACTGTGTCTACCGTTAATTGTTAAAAAAAAAACGAATTTTAACTGCCTGTTCTCGAGTTTAAACTGATGATATCTTGTCTAACCTAGTTTGTTTTTCATCCTTGTAATCTTGAATTCTTCTAAATTATCTGTCGATAGTGGCATGGATCTTTTTTTTTGCTTTACTGCGACTATAGCCTTATATAAGCTAATGGTGATGTTTATGTTTTGTATATAGGATAGCAGACAAATCACAAGTTTATACACAGCATGCATATATGAGACCTCTTGGAGTAGGTAGGGGTTCTTGTTTTTATTTTTGCTGTTGTAGTTGTTAAGATTATTATTACATCTACATGCAGCACCTTCATATCACTTATCTTGGTGTGTGTCGTGGACATTTACACCTGCTAATTGCTGCTGCTGGTCATATTCTTTTTTATTTTGAAATCTTTACTGTATCTTTTCTGTGAAGTTGCTATGATTTTGGGTATTGATGAAGAGAACGGGCCTCAGCTTTACAAGTGTGATCCAGCTGGCCACTTTTATGGTCACAAGGTATTTGAAAAATTTGTTCTTTTCATCAAAATGCGTTACATTATCGATGCTTTATGAAGAATGTGCTGTTTGTCTATTGTGTAATGAGTGCACCTGTGAATCCTGTGATCATATAACCAACAAAACTTGAATAAGTTGAGGTAAATATTTCTCTGAAGACATGCTTAAGCTATGTCCTCAGAAGAGAATATCTGATAATTTGTTTATGATTTTGAATTTCACATGACAATGGCATTTGCCTTTTTTTGGTGATCTCCTGTGTTTTTCTAGTATTCCTAAAATCTGGCAACTATTGTTATTTGTTGTTTAGCTAGGCCAGTTAATTTGCATCTAGGGTGTGCTTACTAGATTTGGTAGCTGATGAACATTGTAGATATTAACATTCAGGAAGCTACCTGGTTCTATGATATGAAACCTTAATCATGTATGATGCAACTCTGGAATTATTGATTGCGTGTTGGTGATTTATTTTAAATTTGCATTCTACATAATTCTAAGGGAGCTTTTGCTTGAGGAACTAACTTTATACTTATGTTGCAGGCTACAAGTGCTGGATTGAAAGAACAAGAGGCTATCAATTTCCTGGAAAAGAAAATGAAAAATGACCCTGCTCTCTCCTATGAGGAAACTGTTCAGGTACTTGTGTCTATTTCCTATTAGTCGGAAGGGACTGTATTTATTTTGTTAACTTATTACCGTGGCCCTCTAATTGTTTTGCACAAGAGAAACATGCCCTTTGCTTGTCAACTATTAAGTTCTCTTACTTTCATTCTTCTCATTTTGGAGATACTTTAGTATGCTTAGGATTTTTTGGGCCATAAAATATGCAGTTGCTATTAAGTACTTTTAATTTTGCCTCATAGAGTTAAAGAATCTCAGGGATGTTTATTGGAGTTTCCCATGGTTTTATTTTCAGAAATGGATTATTTGATTTCCAGGACTATGAAAGGATTCCGAGCATGATAGAAAATAATTGTGAGGATAGATATGATTGTTATTTTGTTTGATTATTTGACTAACTGGTGCAAAGCTGCTTTTAGATTATTTCTAATGGGTTTTCTGTTTGTTCCAGACATAACATTCTATATGAGCTCCTGATATAGCATATTTTTACTGTGCAGACTGCTATTTCTGCTCTGCAATCTGTTCTTCAAGAGGATTTCAAGGCTACTGAGATAGAGGTTCGATGTCTCCCATCTATACATTCTGCAGTTAGTGATACCAGACCACTAATATTAAACGAAAGAAAGAAACTTCAGTGTAATTTGTCTTCTCTTACGCGTGTCCTGTGATTGAACTCTGGCATTTCCACTTCTGTTAGGGTGGCTATCCTTCTGTTAAGTTTCCACTAGAATTTGGAATATTTGCAGTGTCTGCTAAACATGCTTACCATTACAGCATGGGCATGAAAATGCTGTTTTAATGGATTTACATATAGAAATAAAATGGTTTCTCACGGTCAGTGTTTGATTTTCGGCAGGTGGGAGTTGTGAGAACAGGTGACCATGTTTTTAGAGTGCTGTCCACTGAGGAAATTGATGAGCATTTAACTGCTATCAGTGAACGTGATTGATCTATGGAGCAATCAGAGCCACTTGGGGGAATGGTCTTGCTATAATTTGAAGTTATGGAAACATTCTTACTTAATCATGGAGTTTGATAGGAAAAGGAAGAGTTAGCAACATTGTTTTGAATTGTATTCCAAGATTCCTCCCCCAATTTGTTAAATTGCCAAATCATGTTTTTCCATTATTGACATTTCTGCAGTTTTCTGACTACTGCTGTCTTCCATGAAATGATAAGGGGTCGGTTTTGGCCGAACGTTCTTAGTGATCCTAACTATTTGCATGTGTATGTTTGGGATTTTACGAGCACCTCGACTGCTCTGTGTTTTGGATCTTTGAAAATTTCCCTGTAGATATATAGTGAACCCATGCAGTTAGATGTTTTCATGCTGGGTCTAGTTGATACCTATGAAGCCAGCATACAATAACTCTAATAGTTATTCCGAGTCACCTGGAGCAGTAATTATCAGTACTTATTTCAGGAGTTTACTTGTATCCATGTTCCATGCTTATTCTTCAACGTGAAAGTTCAAGTACTAGTTGGATTCAATATTGACACCTTTCCTTGGACTCCAAAGCTGCTGCTGTCACAGAAGGCGACACCTCTTTGCTGTCAGGATCATCCAACCTCCTGGTAATCTTTCCATCAGCTACCCCATTTATTATGGTTGCTTTCTTGTACACAGCATTGACTAGGTTTACCAACTTTAAAAAGGATGCTACCAAGTGTCTGAATGGCAAGTTTTAAAAATCATAAATTTGGCAATTCAAAGTTACATAAGGTTTTAATCATGAATTTGGCATCGGAACCCTAAAAATAATCACAACTACCCCACTCTTAAATCAACCTAACCTAAATCAACTAGTTGACCTGCAAGTCGGTGAACCAACCCAAACTATGATTTTTTTTGTACATATAAAAAGAACCAGTTCTAAAGTAAAACACAGTCATAACAAGCCACCATCAAGCTAAACTCTAGATTGACAGGTTGATACATGTTTTTCATCACATGCATGTCGTGAATAGCCATGATCAAGAAAACAAGCTAATCCTAATACTGAAATGTAAACAGTGCATGGTTACCGAGGCCCTTGCACAATAATCTAAGTTGCGCATTTGAAAAGAACACAAAGGAACATGCATCTCCATAACTTGAAAGGATTAGTGGAATTACATTCTTGACGATAACAGCTTCCATAACAATTACTACATCAGAAAGGGATAATATGAGTTGAGATTTACACTTTCCCTCCAATTTATCTACAACCATCCCAAAATCCCATTATCTCTGTACAACCCCCCTCCCTCCGAAAACAAAAACAGACCGGAATGATTAGCCAGAATGAGCCCGCCAATATGACTACCAAAACAAATGAATTTAAACTTGCAGCTGCTTCCATTTACTATCAAAATAAATTACACTAGATATAGTGTATATGAACAAAATACAGGGGATGGTGTCTTTACCGTGCTGCCTTACCCTCCCGTTTCAGATCTTCCCAGCTTATCTCCTGGGCACATTCCCCACATATAGTGGTGCACCCAGCTTTCGTTCCCTGACTTCTAAGGGTCAGCAAATGAGAGAGATTAGTACATTTCCGCTGCACCATACGACTCCTTAAAATTCTCTGGGAAGTTGCTCCATTGGAAGCCTCAGATGCAGGACGGGCCATGCTTGGCACAGGTATGCTGCTTGCATCTGGGGCAGAAGATGCCCCATTTGACATGGGTGGCTTTCGCTCAAAAGTGGAATCATCAAGGGAAACTCGATGCACTTCTTCCCATTCTAATGATCTCTTATATACTTCCCAAGCCATGTCTTGCTCCTCCTTTGTTAGTTTTTCCTCTTCATTCTCTTGCAAAAGAGTCTCATGTTCATGGTAATCAAAAATCCACCTAAAGACGAGGAAGCACATCAGACACTATGCTTTTATTAAGTGAAATAAATATATGATTGAGAATACCACTAGAAAGGATAAGTTACTATTTTATCGAGTGATTTAAAAATCCACTCCAACTGCTGAAAGAACTTATAATTAAGACAATGGCATGTTAACATACAGATTGCACATCAAAAATCAGTTACAAATATACTCAATCAGACAGTCCTAGATCCTTGTTCCGAATTCCAGTGTTGAAGGTAAGCATCCAAAAAGGATTGAAGGTAAGAAGTTATTAGTTCTTTTTATATAAAAAATAAAATAATAACCCCACCTCTGACGGTGCTTGCCAAGCAAGCTTTCCATCACCTTACCAGAAGCACAGCTTCCATGAGAACGAGACGCATTCTTTTTCAAAGAATTTGCGGTTTGGCAAGAAATATTCCTGGTATCTGCCTGTCTATACTCTTGGCCAATGTCAATCAGTGTTTCTGAGTTCTCATCATCACCAAATTCAAAAAGATGCAACATTTCTTCTCTGGAGATAGTCCTACATACTTGTTGTCTATCAACCACCCTTGCAGCAAGTCCCTCCTTTGTTACCTGATTAAATCATTCTCTTCATTAAAATTGCAAGCATCTGCGCTTCATTTTGATGATAAATTTGTATATGAACGATAGAGAATGATCTGCGACGAGAGGTTATATATGCTCCAAAACATTTTTATAATACTAAGCTAGTTTCATTTTTAATCTATTTGACAGAAGTCATTGTCATGTATATCCCAATGTTTAGTGCCGTGATGAATGATGCATATCATCTTTCATTGATTTTGGTCACGAATTCTACAGCCTAATTACTTCCAGTCCTGATCCTTTTGAGTAGGGCATGCAGCTAGTCATTCTTCGTTTACCTCAGGTACAAGTTTCCACTTTCCACTGCCTCCGTTTCCTTGTTTCCCCCTCGTGTTCATGCTACCATTAGTAGATTCATCTTTCACGGTGCAGGCAAGCTGATTTAGAAAATCCCAGATATAGCACTGTTGATCAGGACCAGTATTGAGCTTCCGCTTAGCCTAGCTTCGTGTTCATGTTGAGCTGTGCCCAGCTTGCTTGGTCCGGTGTGTTGGTGGGAGAAACCACTTGTGGTGGCTTTGAAACACTCGGAGGGGATAAAACACACTCTTTTATTTTAAGAACAACAAGCTTACAATAATGAAAAGTTTACAATAACAACCCCTATTTCTCTCTCTAGTGTTTCTCTCAATCTCTCCACTCCTAATTGCATAAGCTTAGTTGTCTATTTATACACAAAATCAAAACAAGAAAATTCAACCTTCAAGTGTGAAGGCGGTTTGTGGCCGACGGTATGAAAGCGGCTGGCGGCTGGTCGGTTGGTGGCTGGGCGGTGACAGCTGGTGGCTGCCTTCCTTGACCTTCTGGATTGAGTTTACTTCAACAAATCTCCCCCTTAAACTCAATCGAGGGATGTCATTCCAAGCATGAATTTCAATCTGATAAATACTTCTCTTTTCAATGGCTTGGTAAAGATATTTGCAACTTGATCATCTGTCTTGCAAGATATCAGCTCGACTTCTTTGTTCTTTACATGCTCTCGGATAAAGTGATGACGTGTATCAATATGTTTACTTCTTTCATGATACACCGGATTCTTTGCCAATGCAATTGCTGATCGATTATCGATATAAATCTCTATAGGATTTTCTTGAGGAAATCCCAAAAACTTCAGCAAATTCCTTAACCATATTAAATGGCATACAACTGAGTTGGCAGCAACATACTCAGCTTCACAACTTGATAACGTGACAATCGATTGCTTCTTAGATGACCATGTGAAAGATGTATCTCCCATGAAAAATACAAACCCTGTTGTACTTTTTCTTTCATCCAGATCTTTACCCCAATCACTATCCGAGTAGCCAATAAGATTGAAATTTGTACTTGAGGTATAAAACATACCTTCATTTATTGTGCCTTTGAGGTAGCGAAGAATTCTCTTGGCTGCATTCAAATGAGACTGGTTTGGCTTCTCCATATATCTACTGATCAGTCCGACTTCGTAGAGTATATCTGGTTTGGTACATGTCAAGTACCTTAAGCTTCCTACCAAGCTTTTAAAGTAAGTTGGATCAACATTTCCAACTTTACTTTTCCTCAATTCCACTCCATTCTCAACTGGAGTTGATACGGGATTGCAGCTTTCCATCTTGAACCTTTCAAGAATATTTTTGGCATAACTGCTTTGGGATACAAAAATCGCTTCTTCTTTCTGCACCACTTCTAAGCCAAGAAAATGTGTCATCAGACCAATGTCTGTCATCTCAAACTCTTGTACCATGCTTTTCTTGAAGTCTTCGAACATGGTAGGATTGTTGTCGGTGAATATCAAGTCATCAACATATAGGCACACAAATAATATGCTGCCATCTGCTTCTTTCTTCACATAAATTGCATGTTCATATGGACATTTTTCAAATCCATTATCTTGAAAATACCTGTCAATTCTGGTATTCCAAGCACGCGGAGCTTGCTTCAAACCGTAGAGGGCTTTCTTCAACTTGTATACTTTGCCTTCATTTTCAGCATCAATGTATCCAAGTGGTTGTTCAACATAGATCTCTTCTTCTAGGAAGCCATTCAGAAATGCTGACTTCACATCAAGTTGATAGATCTTCCATCTATGTTGTGCTGCTAGTGAGATCATCAGTCTGATTGTCTCTAGCCGGGCTACTGGAGCAAACACTTCTCCATAGTCAATGCCTTCTCTCTGTTTGTAGCCTTTCGCCACTAATCTTGCTTTGTATCTTTGCACTTCTCCTTTTGCATTCTTCTTTGTCTTGTAGACCCATTTGACACCTATTGCTTTCTTGTTTTCTGGTAGATAAGTCAGCTTCCACGTATCCTTCTTCTCAATGGCATGTATTTCTTCATCCATTGCTTTTATCCACTTTTCTTCTGTGATAGCTTCATTGAAGCTAAGTGGGTCACTATCTGCAAAGAAACAAAATAGAGTTGTATCTTCCATAACTTGAGTGGCGTCATACAACTCTTCTAGATTTCTCATCCTTCTAATGAGGATGCTAATGATGGTTCTGGTAATGATGGTGTTGATGATAATTCTGATGTGTTTCTCCTGTTGAATACAGGAAATCTGTGTACCGGACTTTGTGGCTCGTCTGCCGGTACTATCGGACCTTCTGCAAGTACTGTTGGTACTTCTTCGTCTTCATGGATCAAATCAATGCTGATCCATTTGACTGCTTCTTGGTCATCATTCCATTGCCAAGTTTTATCTTCTTCAAAGATAACATCTCTGCTCATAATTACCTTCTTGGTGATGGGATTATACAGCTTGTATCCCATCCTTCTCTCACCATATCCGACAAAGATGCATTTCTCACTTTTATCATCGAGTTTGGTCCTTCTTGCATCTGGGATCTTTGCATATGCCACACAACCAAAGACTCGAAGATGAGTAACACTTGGTTTATGACCACTCCATGCTTCTTGTAGAGTGTCAGCTTGCAAACTTCTGGTTGGGCAGCGGTTTACCAAATATACTGCACATGATATAGCTTCAGCCCAGTATTGTTTGGGCAGCTTCTTTGCTTTGAGTAGACTTCTTGCCATATCAAGAATTGTTCGATTCTTCCTCTCAGCTACACCATTCAGCTGTGGTGTATAAGCTGGTGTTGTTTGATGTCTGATGCCTTGTTGTGTACAAAAGGCTTCAAAGTCATTTGCTGTATATTCTCCACCTTGATCAGATCTTATAGCCACTTTGCTTCTCAACAATTGCTTTAAAATCTTTAAAACAATTGAACACTTCTGACTTCCTCTTCAAAAAATATACCCATGTCTTTCTGCTAAAATCATCAATGAAAGTGAGGAAGTACCTATTTTGTCCAGTCGACATAGGCTTTATAGGACCAAACACATCTGTGTGTACTAACTCAAGTGGCTTGTTTGCTTTCTAGTTGACTTCTTTGGCAAAACTGGATCTGTGATGTTTGCTGAGGACACAACTTTCACAGACTTCTTCTGGATGATCAATATGGGGCATACCTTTGACCATCTTCTTGCTTACTAGCATTTTCAGACTTGTGAAATTCAGATGTCCAAGCCTCCAGTGCCAAAGCCATTCTTCACTGTTGGTGATGACACTCAAATACTTTGCTGCATCATATTGGATGTTTAAAGGAAACATCCTATTCTTGGACATTTTCACATAGGCAATTAATCTCCCATTGTAGTCTGTAATTGTCAGATGACAATTCTTTATGTAAAGTGTATAACCTTTCTCCAAAAGTTGACCTATACTCACCAAGTTCTGCTTTATGTCTGGGACATAATAGACATCGGCGATGTAGCTTTGATCGCCATTCTTCAACTTGATTGGGATGTTGCCTTTACCTTTGAATGGAACTTTTGAGGTATCTCCAAAGGTGACAAAACCTTGAATGGTCTCATCTAGATCACCAAATAAATCTCGTTGGCCACACATATGATTGCTGGCTCTAGAATCAAGATACCAAATATTCTCTTGATTCTTGTCAAGTCCTTGTTGGACAAATAATGCAGCTGCTCCTCTGTTATTGGCATTCTCTTCTGCATAGTTGACTTGCTCAAGTATCTCTAGTGGAGCTTTCTTTTGGCATTCAGTGCTATAGTGGCCAAATTGATTACAATTATAACACTGAATATTCCTCTTGTCACGGTTATTGTAACCGCCTCCTCTTCCTCTAGGAGTGAATGCTTGTTGTCCTCGACCTCCTCTAGTGGTGTTTCTACCACCTCTTCCTCTAAAACCTGTATTCCAAGAACCTCTGCATTGAAATCGTTGAAATCCTCCTCGTGTTTGTTGACTTCTTCCTCGAGTGGTGTATCCACTTGTTGAAGTCTCCCCTTGCTCATATCTGTCTTTGAGAGACAATTTTGCTTGTAAGGCATGCTTAATTGCCTTATCTCCATTTCTTTTTACAATCTTCTGCTCATGAGCTTGCAAAGAACTCATAAGTCCATCCACTGTTAACTTGTCCACTTCTTTGGACTCTTCAATAGAGACAACAACAAAATCAAATTTTGGATCTAGGGATCTCAAAATTTTCTCAGTAATTCGAGCATCTGAAAGGGCTTCTCCATTTCTTCTCATCTGATTAACTATCACCATAATTCTTGTGTGATAATCAGAAATGGATTCTGAGGACTTCATTTGTAGCAATTCAAATTCACCTCGTAAAGATTGGAGATGAATCTTCTTTATTCTGTCAGCACCTTTGTATTTTTGTTGGAGAGCCTCCCATATTTCTTTTGATGTTTCTGCGGAAGCAATGATTTCAAATGTCGCTTCATCAAGACCTTGATAAATGATGGTCTTTGCTTTGTTGTCTTTCTTTCTATTGGCTTTGAGGACTTGCTTCTGTACCTCTGGTAAAGCATCTTCTGATTCTTCGGACTCTGGTTCATCATAACCATATTGCACAATGTCTATACACTCTTGTGAACTAAGGAATGCCTTCAATCTGATGCACCAACTATCATAATTGTCTTTGGTTAGCTTCGGGATGAGTGTTTGTGCATTTTTTATAGTCATTTTGCTATTTAAATGACTATATCACCTTTTGGGAGTTGAATTTGGCAAAACCGACACCGTAGATGGATCCAGAATGGTCCAAATAGTAGGGAACCGATCTGACTTTGTAGAAAACGAGTCAAAAATGGGGCGAACCGGTCCAAAAACCAATTCGGGTGGTTTGCTGGGTTGAACCGGGAATATTCCAAGGAATATTCTTTTTGGCCTGACTTCAGAATATGGCTCGGAGCTTGGCTTGGCTTCGGAATATGGCTTGGAGCTCGGCTCGGCTTCAAAATATGGCTCTCGGCTTGGCTCGGCGCGGCTCAAATATGGCTCGCGTGTGGCTCACTCGTCTTCTTCCTCGGGGCGTGTGGGCTACAGTTCTGAAACTTCAGACGGAGAGTGTGGTCCACCCCGTGCTCCGATTGATCTGATTTTTGCACCGTTGAGTTTGTATTGATGAGCTCTACACTTTTGAATGATCAAAACTTGTTTTTGACAACTTTGAAAATTCGGATATTTCCCAAAAATACCTCTGTTTTCTGACGAACGAGGCTCTGATACCACTTGTTGGTGGGAGAAACCACTTGTGGTGGCTTTGAAACACTTGGAGGGGATAAAACACACTCTTTTATTTCAAGAACAACAAGCTTACAATAATAAAAAGCTTATAATAACAACCCCTCTTTCTTTCTCTCTAGTGTTTCTCTCAATCTCTCCACTCATAATTGCATAAGCTTAGCTATCTATTTATACACGAAATCAAAACAAGAAAATTCAACCTTCAAGTGTGAAGGCGGTTTGTGGCTGACGGTGTGAAAGCGGCTGGCGGCTGGTGGCTGAGCGGTGACAGTTGGTGGCTGCCTTCCTTAACTTTCTGGATTGAGTTTATTTCAACACGGTGAAGTTAGGGTGGCACAGCCGAGTGCACGGCACCGTTTGGTCGGCTGGCCCTAAGAACATTATTCTGACACAAACTGATTTCTAGCTAGGGTAATAAAATAATTCTTTCCATGTTTTGATTTGGAGGCTATATATTAATTAACTGGTGCATCAGCAGCATGAATTCTCTACACAGAAAAAGGTTGATGATAACATTCTTGGTCCAAACACCCTTTCTGCACTGCTTCCTTGAAGATATGTTTCACACGAGTCCATCATGCCCCCATCTCGACAATCGGTCAAACTGCATGATATCTCGAGATAGAAGGTAGAAGAGACCGGAAACATCCAGGAAATACAGAAACGGAGAGGAAAAAACTGTATCACATACAAAGTTCTATAAATTAGTATATGATTGGTAGATTAAAATAACCCACACACACACCAATTAGAAGAATAAATAGAGAGGTCTGACGATTGTGATAAGCAAACAAGTTTCGCCATTGCAGGCTCTCCATTAATGGAAGGTAGTGCAGTGCCTGTCATTTGTTGACTCATGCAAGTGCCTGGATGACTTG